GGGGGGGCAGGCTCATTCTTAATCTAATTAACCGATTGTTATTACATGTTTTACATATTATGTGGCTCGATATAAAAGCATCCTTTTTTCCTAGTTGGACAAGTTAAGCAGAGGACAAAAATAGATGTCGAGAGCTGGTTTTCAGATGCAGTGGTGCCCCCACGGTTGCCCCAACCACGGGATAGAAGAAGAAGAAGAAGTTGGACAAGTTTAATGTAGACCGGGTTTGAGGAATACAAATCGACTGTTTTGTGTAAGACCCAGTCATACGCCATTTGGAAAAGTGACATATAACAGAATCTTTTACTGAGCACTGAACAGTCGAAATGACTTGTATTACTTGAATTACTTGAATGTAGAATTGGGGTCTTAGGAAGACAAGGTGCTCCAAGCTTCCTCACCCTTCTTCATGAGGGTCTATTGCTGTGTGGGCAGGCTGACTGTCTCCATCATCAGCTGGTTGTTGTAGCATCTGATGGGGTCACGCAGCCTGCTCCCCCTACCTTCACCAAGCTGCACTCCTTTCGCAATCACAACCTCATTCGTGAAGGAGTCCTCTTTACGGCTGCTGGCTAGGTGTTCTCGGACAAGGGCTACTACAGTTGGAGGGTCAAGGGTAAGCACTCCCTCTATGTTTGCGGAGCCTGCTAGCCTGCTAGCTTGAAACAAAATGCGCCAAGCAAGTCATTCCTACTCAAGATTTCAAGATGTCGTCGGCTGAGAGGACTGTTAGTTAGAGGGTGTGTCCCAGTGGTCAGAGCACCATGACCTCTTTCTCACGTTGTTGCAAATCTCAATACAATAAGAAAAGGGTTGAGGTTATAGGAAGAGTGTTTTGTTTTCGTTCCTATTTGGTTTAGCTCTCTACCAGACACCGACGTCTGGGTGTAAGGGTTAGGCCCATCATCAACTGCATAAGGACTGAGTGAGTAATATTCTCAAGTGGGGGGCTTTTTTTTAAAATTGAGTATCTCCGTCTGTTTGCAGAGATATTGTGTCCTTCTCAGCCTAAGCTAGTCCTGACAGACATCATTGAAATAGCCTCCCCCCCCCCCCCCTTTTTTTGCACTGAAGACCTGAACCATGTTGCTGGGAACGTAAAACACTTGCAATAGAAACAACAATGTCTAAGGCTGGACTAATCTGTCATTTCGAAGATAGAAACAATAGTTCAGTGGCTGAAGTTAAGCAGACGGAAGAAAAAGGGGAAAGGAGAGCATGGTGAGTGAAAGAAAAAGACACAGGGAAAGAAAATAAGACAGCGGGAGAGATTGCGAATAACAATAGAGAAAGAGGGAGAGAGAAAGAGAGAGAGAGAGAGAGATAGATAGATAGATAGATAGATAGATAGATAGATAGATAGATAGATAGATAGA